GTTCAAATCCACCAGCTGCTCCGTGGGACAAAGATGAGGAGTCTCTTAATATGTGATTCACTTCTGAGAAAACACTGGAAAGTCAGCTATGAGTCAGTTCTGACTCTATGGCACTCAACAGCATTTGAAAGTGTTGTCAAAAGGTTCAGTACCTGAAAAAGGACGTTACGCGTGGAAAAGTGGAAGGTTGGAGAAGTATATAGTGTTTGTCACGTTGATAGTGACTAATAGTGATCTTAATGCACAACTTAAGTTAACGCTGGATCACCCTCACCCTCATCGGCGGGTTTAAGTGTATCGTTTTGGTTACAGTGTCAATCATCTCACCAAGGATCTCCCTCCCACACCTTGGCTGGTTTTCTCCTTCAAACATGAAGTCTTCTTCTAGTGATCAATCTCTCCTGATGTTGTATCCAAAGCAAGGGAGTCAACTAATGTCCTGCTGTGACCCATAAAGCTTTCACTGACCAATTTTCAGAAGTTGATCACCAGAACTTTCTTTCTAGTGCTTCTTAGCCTGAAAGCTCTGTGGACACATGTCCACTCTGAGTGACAATGCTGGTACTTAAAATGTTGGTGACATGACTTCTAGTCACAGCAGCAGGCAAACTACCACAAGCTGGCAGGAGGCACAGAGGGTATAGTGAAAGCATGTCTAACTTTGTAGGACCTCCTACATGTGGTTGCACAGGGTAATAACAAGAAGTGGGAGCAAAAGTGGAAGCCACTGTAGGGGAAAATCCACACACTTCTTAGACTGTAAAGAACTGACCTGAGCATAAAAGTGTTGAATTCCACAGTGCGATAAATTAGCTCAGGAGTTCTTTTATGAAGAAAAGAATGTGCTGGTTGGAATGTTCCAGAGAAGAATCATGTAAAGCACCTAAAAGCCTGCACGAATGTTACCAGGAAAGGGGTTAGGTATGCCTGTGTCCTTGAATCTGGGCCCTGGGAGGGGAGGGACGGTCCGGAGGTGCTGAGTTAAGGTAAAGCAGAAAATGCTACCAGGGGCCCTCTGGATGAATGACCAGCTTCTTCAGCACGTAGTGCAGAAAGCTGGACTTGGGCAGACCAAGATTTGGATTACCTACTAGATTCCTTCCACACTTGCGGCAAGGTGAGCTTGCATGAGAGATTCAGCTACTCAGAGCTGTGGGTTCCTCATCTGGATAATAGAAAGAATCATAGCCCTTAATTCACAGAGGTTAAGGAGAGCTAAGGTGACTTAGTGAGAAGGAATTGCATTGCCAAACTAAAGGTACGTGGTTCGAATCCACCAGCTGCTCTGTGGAAGAAAGATGAGCAGTCTCCCACTGTGCAATTTACTTCTTCTGAAAACCTGCTGGAGGGTCTGCTGTCTGTTCTGACTAGAAGGTACACAACAACAATGGGGACAATTTGCTTATTTATACCTCTGATTTGTTCAGAGAAGATTCAAGGCAATGTCTTGAGACTAAAAAGGCATACATAAAAATTTTAACACAGGACCTAGTATTTTTCCCGCCTCCCACACTTTCTATTTATCCAGCAATCCAATAATGCAAATCTAGTTACAAAATGACTGTAACAGGTGAGGATGGCACAGGACAGGCAAAGCTTTGATTTGTTGTTCATAGGACCTCTGTGAGTTGTGGTCAACTTGATGACATATAACAACAACAACAAATCCAATTGTTTCAACCATTTATTTAGCCTTAATTTCTTCATCTGTCCACTTACCTATTCACCCTTCTGATAATCCAGTACTCATAGACTCATCCACCCATCCTGACTTTTTTCTGATCACCAGCCGTATATTAAGCACTACACTGATGCCTGGATTTCCTTAGGCACTGGGAAAACAAGACGTCTGTGGTCCTGTTCTCAGGAAGCTTGCTTTCAATTAAGAGGCAAAGAAATTTTTCCTTTCTTCTTTTCTTTCCTTCAAGCTGTCCCTCACCCTACATCCTGTTTTCTCTTTCTTCTGGCCATGTTTTGAAGGAAGAAGAGCAGAAGTTGTGGTGGGTCCAACTTCCAATAGGTAGACCCTTGGCCTTGACAGAAAATGCAGGGGCTAATGGCCCTGGGAAATGCCACAAGCTTAAAGACTTGTTTGGATCTCTGAGGGGCTTGGAAGGATCCCCAACCCCAACCCCAAGTCTAACTATGTTCTGACCTCCTGGGTGGGGCAGGTAAATACCTCTCTTCTGTTCCTCTCACCAGTGTCTCTATCTACTCTTTGATGCCTGGATGGCCACCAAGTGGAGTGTATTTCTTGAGCTGAAGGCTTTGATCTCAGTGAAAATGAAAATCCCTGTGGGAGGGCGCAGTTTAAATGGGTGCTCGTTATTTACACTTGGTTGTGAATGAGTATCACTTCTTTTTTTTCTGTGGAATAAATCAGCAGGTGTTCACTAAGCCTGCCTGAGAGAGCTGATTGCAGACCAGTCAGTCATTGGCAATAGTGTATTTGGAGACAGGCCTGGACAAGGGTCAGGAGTCAGTGGTGGTCAGTCCTGCTTGGCCACTCACGGGGCTGTGAATTTTGTGCAGAGTGCCCTCTTTCTGAGCCTCTGGAACTCAGTGAGGTTCCCAGGCCTCTAGAGAAGAGCCATGCCACTAAGGGCTAGGACAGAGCAAGTGTCGTTTGTCAGCAGATGCACAAGTCCTGGCATTTCAGGAGGCCCATGCTGCATTTAATGTCCTGTTGCTGTCTTGAAATTCTGAATCGCTTTTGAAAGTGGGGCTCCAGAAAGCAGTATGGCGCTTTCTCAAAAAGTTGCAAATAGAGATACCATTTGACCCAGCAATTCCACTACTGGGAATATACCCTGAAGAGACCATATCTGACATCCAAGCAGATATATGCACACCCATGTTCATTGCAGCTTTGTTCGCAATAGCAGGGAGTTGGAGACAACCTAAGTGCCCATCAACAAACGAATGGCTGGAGAAGCTGTGGTATGTTCGCACAATGGAATACTGTGCTGCATTGAAAAACGAGGAACTCATGCAATATTATTCAAAATGGTTGACTCTGGAGAACGTTGTGCTGAGTGAGGTGTCCCAGTCACAGAGGGACAAATATTGCATGATGCCACTGTTGTGGAATGGGACTGTCCTTGGGGTTGGGGAGACACTGAGTAAGATGGGTTCAATAATGTATACTGCGCTGAGGCAGAGGAGGGAGAGGGCCGTCTGGAGGAGAGATGTAACTGGGT